TTTCAAGTGTATCATGCCAGAAAACGTAATTAGATGTATCTTAAAATATGATCGTTGATTTTTAATCGAATATTTCGATCGTTAAATGCTGCTCGGAAAGTTCGTTCCGATTTTTAACTCTTCGGTCGACATAGAAAATTATATCGGAAGTTTTCGCGAAAAAATTCGATAAACATATATCGGATCGAAATGTAAATCGGAACGAACTTTCCGAGCGACCGGTTTTTAATCACTGGAAAAACACGCGGAAATTCGGGCTATATGCTTGTCAGAGTATACGGTCCCCAGAGTGTTAAATTACGCGATCTTTTAACCGACAGCTCGTTTGAGAAATCGTCAGATCGATTAAAATTCCGAGGAGCTACATTGATAGTAAATTTTACTACAAACTCTCTTAGTCTGTTATCGTGTGAATAGAGCGAGATCATTAAGAGCGTTAATTTAAGAGGACGAAGAGCAACAAGAATCGACGATTTCTCGAACTAATCCGGTAGTAGCTGGATTGATTAATGGAACGACTGACGATCCTTTTCATCGAAACGGATCCATGGCAATAGGATTTTACAAGGGAATACCGCTATTGTTAGAGTGGCACATGTATGTACATAGGTAGGTGCGCGTTTATTCTGTTGCTTGTTAGTTGTTAGTATCGGCTAGTAAAATATTGGCGGCATGGGTTTTCACGCTTGACAGGGTATTCCAATCATCCGCCGCAGTGATCGGAAGAGAGCAGTAGACGTAAATAATGGTGTGCGAAATTTTACGTTCGCACCAGAAATAGAACGTTTCTTGCCAACACCGGACTGATCCGGCGAACAGGAACGTGTCTCGATACGCCGAGAAAAGAATATTCCTCGATGAGGAAAAGATCGAGTCATTGGGAATATCGTTTTATTCGTCATATTCCAAATATAATTGATTTTGCTTCGGAACATTTGTTTCTTTTCTCGACCGTTCGAACAATCTTTGCTGCACCGTCGCGTGTATTCGTAATTTTAAAACACGTTTACTCGTAACGTAGATCCCCGTTTTCACGTATATTACGCGTATACCGCGTGGTCCGATAAATATTGTATTTAAAAAAGTGAAAATTAGCAATCGAATATCTCCGTTGTTCTTGAACGAAAGTTGTTCGGCACAGGCAAGACTGTAACAGTAGGCAGTGATAATATTTTTGCAGCTGGAGGAATTTTCGACGTTCCAAGGTTATCTCCACTTCTTTTTTTTAACGGGATTGTATATATTTTTCGTGCATTAGTTGACGCACGTTAGACGTTCTCTCTGTAGAAAAAATATTAGCCCGCTTATGTGGAAATATTATTAGTTTAGGTGATATTTTAACTTTAGTTTGTCTAATTTAACGTATGAAGGACGAAGATAACATAAGCAGAATAATCCCGTTTTGTGTCTTTTCTTGTCCTTTGTACGTTAAATTCGACGAATTAAAGTTAAAATATCTCCTAAATTAATGGTTTTTCGAGATACATAGATTGATACTTGATATTTCATAGAGAATGTCAAGCATCGACTAATGCATAAAATATATACAAATATAATGCAAATATACTATGCAAAATTATTAGAAAAAATTATTTCTGCCATATTGTAGCCTCCTTTGTATTAAACAACTTTCGTTAACAAATCTTTCTCGTATCTCCGAAAACAATGGCGATATTCAAACGCTTGGTTTTATTGGCTCATTCTGTATTACAAGAAATATCAAAGTAGGATGAGTACGTAACGTATTTCGAGTGTTTTTGCTAAATTATCAAAAAAGTCAGTTTAAGAGAAGTAACGTTCGATTAAAAATTTCATGGCGAAATTCCAAGACTGTGTACAACGTCGCAGAGAAAAATGTTAAATACCTGTGACACAGATAACATGTTCTCCACTACTTACGAGTGTTGAAATACTTTCGCCAGCCCGTGTATATGCGTGCATATTCTTAGATTTTTGTAGATCATGCAGCATAAATCAAGATTCCCTTCCCATCGAGATTAAAACCGGAAAAAACTTCAAGGTTCCGTGGAAACTGAGCTGAAGCGAGACGAAGATTGCCAAGAGCGAGGGGTATTCGGTACAGGCAAACAGAAACTTCGCGCAAAGGCTAATAAAGCTCGGGCTAGTTTGTTGGACGAGCGGAAACTTGCATCGCTTCTGTGGGATTCTTGATCGTTGCGTCTGAGAATGTGGATAACGCGTATCGCTATCGATCGTACGTGCGTTTATGTAACGAGATTAAGAAAATAATAAATAGCGCAGTTGATTAGTTTAGCCCGAGATAGGCTCGCTTACTCGCAACCAGATATCTTGCAACTTTTATGTACGTTCGAAACTCCAATAACGTGACCCCGTTAAACTGCAGACTTTTACGCGTCTGTTTAAAAAATTGTGAGATACAACGATAAACGCGCGTAACACGCAAAAAGTATATAAGATATTCAAAGCGGAGTACTCTTTTATAATGCGCGGCATGAGGATGAAACAGATGTCCGCTTCAGTTTCCTTGGTTGTTTGTAAAAATATAAATTTGTGAATTCGTATCATATATTTTCGTGTCATGTATTTAGGAGCGTTCAGATACGCGCCAGTGAACCTATCGTATCTGCTCGTAATATTAAAACGTCTCGTATAAAAATAGCGACACGTTTACTCCATTCTATAAGTCGATCGTAAACGTAGCTCTCGTTACAAAAGCCATTTGTACTCGGATTTAAATGTTACGTATTTCCTTATGCATTTATTCGTAGGAATCGCTTAACGCGCTATAAAACGGAAGAGGTTGAAAGACGTTGCGCGACTCTCTTTACCGGAGTCGGAATGCAGACAATAGGGATGGCCTTTGAGTTCCTACAGTCAAAGAAAGGCTATTCCTTGGTCGCGATTATTGATTTGAAAGTATGCTGGCGACGAAGAAAAAGGGGGAAAAAAATGAGGGAGGGGAAAGCGAGAAGCATCGTCATATAGTTTTTCCGAGACGTCGTTCTAACGAAGATGGGCGCGGTTCGAGCCGCGTTTCTACGCAGCTTTCGCAGATTGAATCCCAGCACTTAGGCTCTGACTCATTCTACGGCCTGCTTGGATAGGGTTTCTTGCGGAATTCCGGAACACCACCCTGCTGTCGCGACGAAATTACACGTGCCGCTCTTCTCTCTGCATTTTCGTTTCTCCTACGGTATATCTTTTCGTTATTGTGATCCGAGATGTTGCATAGATTATCTGAATAATAAAAATAAAAAAAAGAAAAAGAGGAAAACAGTCACAATTTAAGTATTACCACTTAAGTATGCGAGTCAATGCCATCGTGGTACAGATTGTGGGTGTATTTCGCATTCAGGCCAACTTAAACTGTCGTAATCAATGCTCATTATCATCGATTAGTATATTGCGTATAAGCAGATATGAAAGAAAAAAAAAAGATATAGTAACTTCTTTCGCATAAAATCTATCTATGATGAAGGAGTAGCTTATTTATCCCATTTATCATACCACGAGGAAAGATTAAGGGAACGGTCTAATCAAATAATTTAAGTTAATTAAATAGTTGAAATAATTTAAACGACGCTTTCGGTCAAACTGTACGACCGTATCTACCGACGATAAAACGTTTTCGATTTTACAGTATTGTATTAGAGACGAAGGTCCAAACTGTGCGCCGATTTCCTTATAAATAATAGAAGAGCTTCGCTACACGCAATGAGATTAGACGTAGCGGGCATTGGTAGGTTAAAAAGATTCAGTGACCCGTACGATTCTTTACACAGTGTCCTTAGCTGTCTTTATATCTTCGCTGCGGCTAAATTATTCGTTGCATCGTCGCAAGAGAAAACGTTCGACCATTTTTTCCTCTACATCGAACATCCCGTTCTTTTTAGGTCTTTTAGGTCGGTATATTTATTATGTTTACTTTTCATTTTTTTTTTTTTATTATGCTCACTGTTGAACGTAGATGGAGAGGATAACGAAGCGTAAAGATATGTAAAAAGGGCAGTAGAGTGGGAAAAAGAATTCGGTTCGATCCTCTCCGGTCGTTTCTCCTTTTTAGGCAGATATCGTATCGAAGTTACAATTTTCCTATCCCGAATCCCCGTTGGCTTCGCCCTAGTTTCATCCTCAAGGTTGTCATTATTATCGCTCGATCGGATGTGTTACTTCGAACGACCCACTTTTTCCTCAAAACTATTATTTCCATTGGGCTTTATTGTACGAACGTATCAAAAAAGCCGAAGGCGGTTGCCTTTTAGCATTAACGATATACGACGTATAGATCGTCCCTCCTTTTTCGCTCCAGGAAGTTCTTTCGCAGTCGATTCCACTGACGTCTCAATGATACGAGAATATGATTGATTTTTTGACGCCCAGACCGATCAACTTTTATTCTTCCTTAATTTCTTAATTTCATCACGTAAGTATACGATTAATATTCAGTTCTGGTGATCTTTTGACATTGATACTATGGCCCGACACTGACGCCATGCATGTTAACCGCTAGCGCGTAATATACATATTTATTTATTTCTTTAATTACTTATCAGTCCGTTTTGTTATCAGTCACTTTCTAAATATTCGAATTTCTCTCAAACCTTCACTCTGTTCAAACTCTATTTAACGGTTGAATCTCGAAAAACGTTGGAACGCGTGTTTATTTTCATTTAACGAGCAGTTCGAATGCTCTTCTTCGTCTTCGTAAGGGTTGAATTTCGAAAAAGGCTGAAACACGTGTTTCTTAATTTTCAACGGCAATTCATACGCCGAATTTCACGCGTCCAAATTCAGCAACTCCTGACGTATGGATATCCTTGAATAATAAATGCTACCCCATTTTTATCCCTTTAGGGTTCGTGTCTCTCAAAATCCTTTCTTACATCGTGTCTGTGTCATAAAAGAAGGTACCGTCCAAATTTTACGTTTCCAGATACAGCTAACTTTCGTAGTAGTTGGGCTGAGCGTTGATGAGTGAATCGGTCACTTGCGCATTTTGTGCTTGTACATAGATACGGATATATCTATTATGTATATATATATATATGTTATATCTATTTTCAAATTATAAATATAACAAAAATTATGTTACGCAAGAGTTACGTTGGAAATTAGATCGATCGTTAAAGCACCGAAGGAAATTTCATTAAATATAAGATTTCGATAAAAATTAGAGTAGCGAATAAGGTACGAAGGAGGAAACGTACTTTTTTCGGTACCGATGAATAATTGAGTTCCATTAAGCTTGAATTACTGAGATGAGTGCGATGGTCGCAAACTAGGTAAGATGTACGCCGATTTATGCTTGATCAAGCTGCTTTCGGATAGAGTCGTGGCACGTACGTAGCTACAGGGAAGAAAGATAACGTCGTTCGCACAAACTACCGGTGTTTTTCGTGGCAAATGAATACCGATGGTAACGCGCGAATGATCACGTGATGAAAGTAATCGGCTATTCCAGTCGCCTAACGTTGCGTGAAGAAAATAGAAAGTTCCCCTGGAGGATGCGTTTCAAGAAACATATTACGCTATTTGAAAACCACTTTATTACGATATCAGAAAGTTATCACCTGTCTGATCCAGTTATTCCCTTAATTTTCGCTCTGTCAAATTCCACGCAATCGTCAATTTCGCTGCTTCTTTCTAGTATCGAGCGACGATTGTAACGGTAAAAAGTTTCCCAACGAAACAGATGTACATGTACATTTTATAAACTGTACGAGTCGACCGATTGACCGAACATTCTATTCGGCCTACGATTTAGTAAAATTGTGAAAAAGATTATACTTCGCGTAATTTATAACCCGTTAACTCTCCACATTTCTCAACAATTGGATATTAATCTCGCGTTTCTCGCAACGAGAATACTCGCTACGCTAAACATCTCGTTGCTTCTATGTAGCAGCTTCCAAAATCTTTCGTACAACGCGCATAAGATGTTCGTAAATGATCTCTACGAGTATTCGAATATCGAGTTACTGCAACGTGTACGTTTAACGAATCCGCACTATCGCGCCAGCGTAGCCCGACCCGACCGTCTCTCCCTCGCTAAATACACCAGAGCAATTGTTCGAAAATGCCCAATTCCCTATCCCATCACCGTACACTAGTTTGCCCAGGAACACCAATAATCCTCCGTACGTATCTCCATTCGGAATCGTAAATCATGCGCGGCGGCAACTACGTCGTCTCGCGCGAAGAAGGGGCATGAGAGAAGATGAGAGAGGAGAGTTGCGCGATCGCAGGGTCGCGCACGGC